ATCGGACGAACGTCCAAGGACATCCTGCAGCAGCAGTGCAGCAACAAGGAGGTGTCCCGTGTGCTGGAGGAGGTGTTCAAACAAGTCGAATCCGAGGACGGCATTCATATGGCGGCGATTCGCGATCGCGAAAAATGCGAGGGAGATTTGGAGAAGAAGATGAGACTGTTCGAGGTGCTGAAGAAGAGATTCGATCGTATCGCCGAGGAAACGAACAACGTGAATCTGACGCCGCAAGAGATGAAAATTGAAAATCTGAAGGAACAGATAGAGGAGATGGCGGAGAGATGTAGGGAGATGCAGACGTTCTGGCTGCGCGAGCAAGCGATAGTCGTCGATCTGTCGGAGAAACGGCAGAGTCAGATACGTGATATGAATCTGCTGAAGAAGCAAATCACGATTCTCGATCAGAAGAATCTGAAGATCAACGACGAACTCGAACATTACGATCGCGAAGAACTGGCGATGAATCGAAGCGTCAGCCATCTGACGAACAGGTTGGCCGCGTACACGGAAATGCTGGGAAAGAGACGAGACGCCAAAGAGACGCTCGACTCTGACAACAGTTTCACGCAGACGGAACTCTCGTTGAGACTGGAAGAGACCGAGATGCAGACGTTGGGGTTGAAGCAGGAGATCATCGATATCGAAGAGGACAAGGAGACACTCGCGAAAGAGTTGATCGAGAAGAACGGGGAGGCTCTGCAATGGGAGAAGAAGATTCAGATGGTCGTGGAAGCGAAGAAGACGATGGCCGAGGAGAGGAGTGGAGATGGTGAGGTGGGAAAGATGAGAGCGGAAATACACAGGATGAGCGTCAGGTACGGACAGCTGAGGAAGGTGCAGGAGAGATTGATTACAGATCTGGAGCATTGCGTGTCGAGACGTGAGGCGATCGTGAACGTTTCCGATGCTCGCACCAAACTGATCAAGGGCGGCACGCAACAGGTGCGATTGCACTTTCAGAAGAAGTTGGACGATCTGAACAACAAACTGCAGCAGATCGACAACGAACAGGTGCACATTGACGAGCAGATGAGCGAAAAGGCGGAGGTTCTCGCGAGTCTCCGCGCCGACATCGAAGCACTCGACTCTGAGATTGACGAGATGAAGGAAAGGTATCGAGTTACAGTCGAGAACATCGAGAGGAAACGAGAGGACAAACAATTGGTAACACGTAATACATTCGTATTTAACTACAACTAACAATGAATGTTTTTGTGCAGACTTTGGACGTGCTCGTCTTCAAGCAGAAGAAGCTGAAGGTGTACGCGGAATTGGCGAGAGGTCGGATCCCTTACACCCAGTACAAGACGGCTGCGGCAGCCAACGCCGCCTACGATCGAGAGAAACAAACGAACGGAAAGTTGGTGACGGTAGTGGATAATCTGGCAGGAGACTTTCCCGATCATTCGGCACTTCTCGGCAGACTCAAGAACGTCCTCCTCTTACCGATACTCACTCTCTGAATTATGTGTGATAACATCAATAATAACACGAAAATATATTGAAATATTAATTATATTTATTAAAATTAATCGAAGGAAGAAAGGAAGGAAGGTATGTAGGAAGAATGAAAGAGTTAAAGTTCATTCAACTAAATTGGTCACATTTAATATTGCTGTTAATTGTTTCTTTTCAACTAGGAAACGAACAAATAAAGAGATAGCACGCAACGAGACAGTAACAATTGTTGCTCATGGAAACCGCATTTGTTAAACAACATCTGTCTGCATCTTGTCTTGTTTCTTCATAATAAACTGTTGCCATTGCTACCGTTGCTATTCAATTCAATTACAAATAAATCGGACACGCCTTCATTTCATTTTCGTTCTTCTTTTTAATACGTCTATTATACAATATTAATAATATTAATAATTTAACATATATATATATATATACATACACACATATGTTGTTTGTTTTTGTTTGTTTTTTTGGTATTTCTTTACAATTAGAAGCTGAGATCAGAGAGAGAGAGAGAGAGAAATCATATACAAAATATATAGTAGTCTTCATTCATCTGCTTCTTCTTCTTCTGCATCCTCGAACAACGTCATTGTTTTCATTAAACTCTGTACACATCAAATATCTCCTAATAAATGTATGTGCGCGTGTATAGTTTAATAAGCGCGCGCACAAATACATGTAATATAATCTTCTAAATTTGTAATATACATATACAATATATACTTTTTCTTTCATTCGCGCGCTGTTCATTTTTTGTTTGTTTGTTTGTATACCTCTTATTAATATATTACACTTATACACTTCCTCTACTTTGACGACTAATCGCTAAACGACTCCATTTAATTGGAACTAAAATCAATAAAGAAGGAATAAATTAAAGTTGACCCGATTTTTGTCATTTGTTTGTCATTTGTTATTTTGCTGCTGCTGCTGCAGCTGCTGCCGAGGAGAAAGAGAGAGGAGAGACGAACTAAACTTAATATCACATCGAAGATGAACAAGAGATCAAAGGGGACTCTCGATTGTTGTTGTTAATCGATCAACCGACCAACCAAACCGAACGAAATCAATTGTTATTACTAATTAAAGAAACATATATGTAATGCTCTCTCCCTCTCTCTCTCTCTCTCCCTCTCGCCGTATTTGTTATCATGCATTCGGGTTTCTCCTTCACACAGACACATACACACGACACGCAATGTCCATGTGTTTGTGCTCCTTATTATACTGACTGCAATTGTGACCGTGCTTAATACGCCGGAGCTTGGAAATCGCCGGGACCTGAAACACATTTCAAACGATAATTGTTATTGAGCAGCTAACAGCGATAATAAGCGTTCATTATTATTAATCATTTTTTAACAGGTTTAGCTCTGCGTGTAAATTTAACCGATTCCCCGAATTATTTCAAATCGAAAAATCCATACCTCGTTGGTTCATGGCGCCACCGGAAAACGGTGGCTCCTGGTACTGCTGCTCCGTTTCCGGTCCACCGGGGTACGAGGGGTAAGCGGCAGGCATGCTCGTATCCGTTTCGTAATTCGTCGCGAACGCAGCGTCCGCGCCCTGCCGGAATCGCTGGAAAGCGAAGAACGCACAGCCAGCCTGAAATAAATGACAAATATACATAATAATCAATATAACGGACATAATCATCACTGATTGTAAACGATCGACGATGATAAATGATATTTGTTGTTGTTGTTCTTACCCAGGTGAATACAGAAAAGAAGCAGAAGGTGATCGCAGCTTGGACATTGTTGACGCCGTAACCGCCCATCGGTTCCGGTGCTTTTCCCCATTGGCTCGCCAAATACCAGAAGCCGACGAAATAGAGGAACGCCCAGAAACCTAAACACTCAATTACCGATGAGAATGAGAAATTAATTTGTATCTAATCTATTCCGAATTTACCGGAGAAACCGAGATCGCCGAGAACGTAATGCTTTCTGGTCTTGACCGAGGACATCTGCTCGAAGAGGTATTCGCCGATGATGAATCCCATTGCGGCGATGAAGGCAATCACGCTGATGCCAACCCCGTAATTGCAAGCGTTACTATCTCCATTATACAGGCACACCTCCTTCTTCAGCGGCTGATTGTACTGCCAGCCTTGAGAGGAAATGCATCCAAACACGACTATCGCGAACAGCTAAAAAAAAGAAAGAAGTTAACAAGAATTAGATATTATATCGCAACTTTCTTAATCAATTTTCGTATACTGCACTTCAGCTATTTCAAACACTGGTAATTGTTACGCTCGGTGCAGTGTGTTGACTGAGCGTAATAATTGAAACGCGCATTTTCAGTGGAGTTGACAAATTCTCGTTATCTGTATACACACAGCAACGGAATTGCACTAGCACTTTCGTTTCATGACGATTATTATTATTATACTTGCAATCTGCGCTTTGTTAAACTATACATCCGTTACTTTGTTCAGTTGGCGTTTTATTTTTTTTTTCGCAAATGTAATAAATATTAATTATTTGAAAACGAAAATGTGCAGTTGCATTTGCATTTCAAGAGCGCTCAAGAAATGTCCAAATGTTTATTCAAATTAATCAGATCACCGTTTCAAACAAACAAATGCGATAAGAAATAATATTTAAGAGATTGCATGCGTCTTGGGTGCTTAGTAATGGATGAAAATTGATCGGGGCGAGAGAAAGAAGAAAAAAAACGATGTTTACATTTGAAATAATAATAATAATATGCGATAATTGAAGTGCATTGAGGCTCTTTTTTTCCCATCTCGGTTAGAAATGTAATACATATCATATACATATATATTTTGCTACGTTGACCCAATGACCTGTTTCTTCGCGTACACCCCTTCTCCTCCTCCTTCGCCGCCCCCGCCACCAGTAGGGGATGAATCAATTTCGACCTATTCCCCCACCACCGTAACCTCCTTCTCTTTGTTACGTCTCTTCTACAACTTCTATTTTTCATTTAATTTTTCGTAATCAATTGCGTTAAATTATTTTAGCTGATTCGAAGCAACCCGTTTCCTCTCTTTCACCGATGAGTGAGGGAGAGAGAGAGAAAGAGGTTTTGGGGTGAAGGCGGGCGGCGCCATTTTCAAATCGAATCGATTATCCTTGTGGGGGTTACTAAAAGTCCCCCACAAACGAATCGACAGTTTTCTTTCTACCCTCTTTACGAGTTCACCAACATATTATTATTATTATCATCATCATCATCATCATAATCAACATCGACGTTCAACTCGTACAGTAGACGCGCGTGAGTGTATGTTTTTTGTGTTCTTTGTGCTTACCCAGCAAACCGCGCGAAGGATGACCTGGGGCCTCTGCACGAAAGTGATGGGATCGAAAGCGCCGCCGGCTTTGCCGCCTCCGTATGCACCCAAACCTTCCATCTTCGGATACCGGACGAAAACTGTGAACTGAGAGTTTCGGCCGGAAAGAGCTTCGCTTCGCTGCACAGGATGGACGGCGACGGAGCGACGGGAACGCACGAACGGCGCCGCCCCAACCCCCTTGACGCCCGACGCTTATGCAACCAACGTCGCACCGTCGTTCCCCTGAAACGGAAACGTAGAGATAAATGAATCGAAACAGAAATCGCAATACTCTTCTCACCATGCAATTCCGATTGGAAACATAAATTCCGAATATCTGCAATAACTAATAATAATTAGAAAATGATATTCACCTTTAATTAAAATCTTGCCACTAGTCAAAACCTCCTCAACCTTAAAACAACGAATTTACAATTAATAAACAACGCCTTAACAACCATACCAACCGTTAATTATAAAAAATATTGATAAATAAAACTAATTGCACTTTCAAACTGTTGCACATCTCTCAACATTGAATTTCGTATTATGATTTACAAGTATTTACATTATTATTATTAATATTCACCTGTGATTATTAACTGAATGTTGAGATGATTTTATGTAACTCAAATTGGACGCGACGCGACACACGCTTCTCAAACAATTAAAAAAAATAATAATAAACAAATCCTTAGCAACGGATTCAAATAGTCTCGACGCCACTCGAATAATCTCGACGCCAATAGAAAAAAATGTAACAATAATAATTAACAAGTTCCAAATATTTGTATTCATTTTTTTTTCATTTCCTTCTATAATGTAGGCAACTCATTGTGCACGGTTCAACGTTATCGACGTTCTTCGTTCGTTACATCACCCCCTCTCAAACAAGAGAAGTGTGTGTGTGTGAGAGAGAGAGAATTATTTCCAAAGGACTTATTGATTGCATTCGAGCAGTGTCACGCATCAATTTCCATTCATCCAATTTAGTTCATAGATTTAGTTCACACACACACCTTCACTGCATTATTAATATTCCGATATAGCCCAAAAAAAAAATGATAAGATTAAAAAAACAATGGAATAATCGATTAAAGTTGGGTTGCATACGTATGAAATTACAATCATTTGTTCTGGGGGAGGAAAAGGTGTGCTGATTTGTGCAGAATTATAGAATACATAGTATTTTATTAATTAAAATGAAGGAGATATTAAATTAAATGTAAAATTGATATAGTTGAAGAGTGTGTAGAAACGAACGAATAATCGATTACTACTACGACCACAACCTCAACCCTCCTCCTATCCGATCCCCTACCAATTCCCCAACTATCGTCCTCTGCCGCGACCCCTGGAGAATCCTCCTCGACCTCGACCGCCGGCGCTACCTTTTCCCTTCGGCGGAGGACTCTTCGGCCGGAGCGCCTCTATCCTCTCGGTGCAGCCGGTCGTCAGAGTGCTCGGATTGAAATAGCCGTTGTAGGTGTCCGCATTGAAATTCGTGTTCGTCAATTCTGGACCGAGCGTTAGCCAACCAGGTCTTACGGTCGAGTCCCTGCCGAAGACGTGCAGTCTCCTTCTACCTAAGCAAAAGTGCTCGATGATGTGGAAGATCTCCACAGGCTTCTCCAGGCTTCCGTACTCCGTCTCCTCCGAGATGATCAAATCGATGTCGACATTCGCATGGATGAAATCGCCGTCCGTTGATCGTCTCACCGTCCCCTTGATTCCCATCAGACAGTGCTCCTTCGTCCTCTGAAACACCGCCTTCGCCTCCAGATTCTTCGAGTGTCCCGGATTCGTGATGTTCGTCCTGATCCAACAGATATCTTCGCACCTTCTGAAACCCCACTTTCTCAGGCACACTCTGCCCATGTCCAAACCCTCCGAGCTGCCGCACCATAGGAACACGAAGCTCCTTTGCGCCGCCACCTCCCCGATATCCAGATTCATGATCTGATCCCACGACCAGAACTGCATGTTCGTCACACCCATCGTCCTCTGGTACTCCTCGAGCGGCGGTTCGATCAGGATCACGTCGAACTTCGAATTGAGACCTTTCAAATCGTAACTGAGCAGATCGCATTTCAAGTACATCGGCGGATTCGCCGTCTGCTGTATCAGATCGTCTTTCAGCTTGATCAGCTCCCTCAACTTTGGATACTCCTCGAACCTGTCGGCCAAACCGACGTCCCTGATGAAATTCTGCGGCCTCTGTCCCGTATCCACGAAATGCTGGCAGTAATCGTTGTGCGGATTTGACGATTGCGTTCCTTTGAGGAACGTCGATGAATCTCTGTACACCAGCTCATCATTACCCTGCTGCTCCTTGCTGCTGCTGCTGCTACTACTCTCTCCTCTTCTCTCCCCTGATGATGATGATGATGATGTCGCCTTCGATTCCGAAGGATTATCGACGTGCTGCTTCTTCGGGCTCTCCTCTCCCGTCCCCAGCACCTGCCTCAGCTCCTCCACCCCCGACACGCCGAACTGACGAAATCAAAACAAAACACTAGACATTTGCAGGTTATGACAGTCCAAATTTGAACTCACCGTTTGCGCCAAGAGCTGCTTCCGTTTCTTCGACTTCTCGCGAAGCTCCTTCAGCATATCGCCCATCTTCAACCAAAACAAAACAAAAACCTATTCAACACGCAACGATCAATCAAAATCGAACGTACACTGAAAACAAAACAAAACCCGCTGCCTCTACAACAACACCCGACGAAAACAAAAAAAAAACAAGTTGATCAACGGCATTTGGGTTGCATACAATCCACAATTCTGACAGATACGTCAACTGAAATGTCAAATGCAGGAATTTTTTAATGAAATTGATTTTGTATGCAAATCATTGACATTACCAGTAGTTATTTTTTCCAGCTGATATTTTAAAATTTCCTATCAGATCACGTCGGCTAGTTACGCTCACCGTTAGAATTATGAAACAGACAGAAAAAAAACAATAATTTAAATTGTGAATTTGGTGGATGATGTGTTGCGTTCTTACCGATGTCAGTGGCATCTGGTGAGACGGTGAAGATCGAGCATCGTCGTGCTGTTTCGGAAGAGCAGGCGGCGCCGCGCGACACCGAGTCGCTGCCGGTTCATGCGGAGGAGTAGGAGCGGGTGGGAACAGTGGGAGAAAGAGAGAGAGAAAAGGTTTTTATGGTGTGAAGGAGAGAGACGGAGAGATGTGGTAGTGAGTGAGAATCGCCGCTGCTGCCGTCGCCGCCGCCACTGCCGCGGATCTCCCATATAGCTAGCCATACCATAGCGAGCACATCATCATCAACATCGTCGTAGTCGTCTCTTCGTCAGTGCTGGTGCGTGCGAGTAGTGTGAGTCAACACAAATAATATACACATACCATCATCAACATCAACGTCGTCGTCGTCGTCGCAGTAGTAGTATTCGTACCGCAATACTGCGGAAAGGTAACAAACAAATAGAAAAGAAAGAAAGAAAGAAAAAAAAAGAGAGAGAATAGAAAAGAAAGAAAGGTGGAAAGGGGGCAAAGAGCGTGTTTGAGGGGGCTCCCAGCTCTTCGTCACAGGTGTGCGATTGTGTGAGTGGTGCATGTGTGTGTGTGCATGTCGAGTGCTGCTGCTGCGTGCGTGTTCTCCTCACTCCGTCTCTGTTCTCCCGGCTTCTTCCAGAAGGGGCGGTAGAATTGCCAGAAACAATCCAGCCCGAGATTGACAGGTACAGATAGAACGAGAGTAAGAGAGAGAGTATAAGCGACACAGAAGTCAGGGAGAGCGAGAAAAGGAGAGAGAGAGAGATAGAGAATAACGCAGGTCCAGGCGGATGAGAGAAGAATAAGTAAGAGATTTTTTGTTTGTATATTTCTACTTGTGTCGGCGGTAGCGGCGGCGGCGCCTTCTCTTCCCTCCTCCTTCGTCATCATCATCATCAAACATTATAGTTGCATATGGGTGTCGGTCTCGTGGGTGCTTCTGCTGCTTTCCTCCTGCTGAAAAATTCCAATTAGACTCGATTACAAATGAAATCATAAATGCGCAGAGAGAGAGAGAGAGAAAAAAAGAAAAGAAAAATAGAGATTGATAGATTGTTTTCTTGGAATACATGCATGCGAGTTTGTACACATACATATCGTACTGGAACCATTTTATACCGTCGCGCACGCCCGTCCATCGTCCGCGCGAGTGCGAGAAGGACGGAGACGGAGGGGCGCATCGACCGGCGCGCTTCTCTCTGTATATGTGTGTATGTCGCACACACATCGATTTTGTGTGTTGTATGTGCTTCTACTCTCTCTCTCTCTCTCTCTTTCACCCCCTGACATTATGCCCGCTGCATTTTCACTTGTTTTCCGACGAACCAATCAGAAAATCCCGCATATGTCAAAATTTGCCTAAGAATTATAATTTTTTTTTCCCTAAACTAAACAAAATAGCAAATACAAATATTTACTTACACAGCATCACGTCGCGAAAATATCTTCCAGTTCTCATCGAATGTTCACACACACACACGCACACAAAACAAACACTAAAAGTTATTATTACCATCAAGGATAATTGTCAACGAAAATACCGACTCGCTTTTGTTTCCGCATTGTTTCCAACATCCTTGTTGTTCCGCTTCAATTAAGTTGCACCAACCGAATCTGAAACAAAAAACAAAAACAACCAAATTAAAAAAAAATTAATAACAATTAAATATTAAAATATTACCGCATTTCGCAACAATTACCTCATTTCCACCAAAATTTATAAAAGAAACACATTGAAAATCGGTGGTTGCAGCAGCACGAAAACGATTAATTAAAATCGATCATCGTTATGCGTCACTTTCCAAATTTCGACTCGCTTTTATTTCTTTCTTCTGTTGTTGTTGTTGTCCCATTTAAAATTCAGAATTACCAATTGCATCTGTAAACATAATAACAACAAAAAAAATTGATTAAAATTCAATGTTCACAAATTCCGAAACGAGCTCTAAAACAGAATGATATAATTGTTAAATATTTGACATTCTACAAAAAACGATTCCATTTCATTTATTTTTTCAATGTTGATCAATCCGTTTTCACCAAATTCCATTAATTGTACCAACCAAAAAAAAAAACGTATTTTTTTTTAAATAGCTGGAACTAAGAATAGGTTGGCAGCATTTTAGGGAATTATTGCAATCTGGCAACGGACAAACTTGAAATAATCTAAATAATTCACGTTAATTGAAAGTCGGTGGAGAGAAATGTCTCCTCCACTAATAAGCGTTGATTAATCGCCCGTTGGCAACGGATTTTCGCGTCGCGGTGAGAGAGAAAAAAAATATCTTGCGGGGGGAGCAAAACAAATGAGTATGTAGTAACTTTTCGCTATTGATTGCTCCACCTGCCCCCGCCGAGTTGTTTCATGTTGGCAACGGATTCGAATGTATATTAGCATAGTTTTTGCCAATTATCATTATTAAATATATTAACGTTGTAATCAATTTCAGTCAATTGCAACGATATTCGTTAATTGATGAAACATAAAGTAATCAAGTTAAATTGTTGTTATCGAGTGAAATGAGTGTGGTAAATCTTTTCGATCGGAATGCGCGTAAATCAATCCCGTTTGAAGTTGGCAAGGGTTGTTTGTTGGGGGCGGGTGGTTGGTTATGGTTGCCATGCGGATGTTTTTGTTTTCGTACTTCATTAGAGAACCGCGTGGTTACGGAGCGCTGACGCCGATCCGTCTATGGTGGATGATCGTACGCAACGGACAACTTTCACCACCCCCACCCCCACCCATTGTGTGTATTGAGATCGACGGGGGGCGGCGGCGGCAATGAACGCGTTTATTGCCGTATTTCAACGTGCCGCTCGATGGGACGACCGCCCGTGACGTAACAACTTCGGTCGGTCGGCCGATCGATGCCGCGGAATCTCTCGCTCTCCTGCTGCAAACGCACGTGTGAATTACAGCCGCCACCTTCTATTCCTCCTCCACTACCCTCTACCCTTTCATAGATATCTACGTACGTTCCTTCATTCGTGTAACCATCATCATAATCACCATCATCATTGCCGCCCGTTCGCGTCGACTATGTAAAAGGGGGTTGAGTTGGTACGCGTGCGCGCCGTTGCCGCCTCCCCTTCGACCGCCGCATTACCTTTACATGTCGTATGATTGAGTGACGGTATGCGGAGGGGGGTGGACGTCGATCCCTCCTCCTCCTCCTTCATCTCTTCATCCACCAATTAATATTGCATCGTCGAGCGTGAAGATGCTCACATCAACATCATCCGCCCAGATGCACGACCGTCCAGGTTTACAACCCTCCCAATTAATTCATATCCGAAGAGCTGAAACAAAAAGAAAATAAACATAAGCAAAACATGAACAGCTCCTAGATTCGCTCGAGCAAAGAGATAATAACAAGGGAGCTGAAAGGAGGTAGATCTGGGCGTGTCTTCTTCAACCATCCATTCCCTCCCCCCTTTTATTGATCCCTCTCCCTCGTCTTTCAACTCAAAAACGGCCGAGATGATCACACCAAACCAATTCCACACATTCTGACATACGTCACACGCAACCCAACAATTACCTTTGACATATGTCAAAGCTGATCGTCACACTTCAAATGTTCCAAGTACCACCGGTGGATGCGCCGGGACATATTTTTTTTTTCTTGTAAACTGTCACAAAATAAACGCCTTAAGTATGCCTTAATTATATCGATTTTCATTAACTTGATAAGTAAATAAGTAATGAATCCGAAAGACGCGACTGTCAAATGACTAAATTTAACGTTTCTCGCAATGAATAGCGGTCGTATAATTTTTTCATGAATTGCGAGTGATCAAAAGGCGACCGTAATTTTTGCATTGTTATCCGACTCATTATTTTCTCTCTCTCTCTCTCTCTCATTCGTTCACGTTTTAGTCCTTTTATCCTCTCTTTTCTAATCTAATTTCCCTCTCATAATTCCATTTTCATTACTCTTACTTTATTACAATCCCCCGTTCTCAAGCGTTCATTTCTTCCTTTGTTTCTTTACAATTACTTTTCCCCCCATCTCTCTCTCCCTCTTACTCATTCAATTCGCGAATGTTTACCTTCTCCATCTCTTAATTTATTATCTGCGTTACTCTCACTCTCTCATCTTCACTCGCATCCAATGTTTCATATTGCGCGTAAATTGCTTTATTTAGGTTAAATCCAACTGTCACTTGAAATGTCACTTTCTGACATGCATGACGTTAATAGTGATATTAACAAAAGCAACAACAACAACAGGAAAAGTTATGTCGGATTGAATGATTGCATGTGTAGGACAGAGACAGTGAGAGAGAGAGATAAATGGGGATAAACGGGATGGATTTGTGGGTGGCGGGGGAGTGAGATGGGTTTAGGTAGGCATGAATAAAATAGGGATCGCGTCGTGAGAGCCGAGGTTAAAACCCGAATTGCGGCAATCCCATTTATTATTTCAATCCCGGGTCGAAGATAATCCCCCCACGACCGGCGTGGATGAAGAGGAGACGCGAAGACGAAAGGAAAACACATCTATATGCGCCACGGTTAAAGAAACAAATTGAACGATGTCAAAAGGTGACGTTTCATAAAACGTCACTATTTGACATTACGGAAAATCGATCACGAAGTGATAAAATTGAAAATCAATGATAACAAAAAACACGTTTTTCTTTACCATTTCGTTTTGAGTTTTCGCGGTCAGCATTGTGATTAATTGACGCGGCAAATGGAGTTTGTGTGGGGGGAAATTATGCAACCGCATTTTCCTGTTTTTCTCCCCCTGCAATCAAGTGCAGTGCACCAAAAAAAAAACTACACTGTTCCCGTTTCTAGATAACTTTATAATTGAAGAGTTTTCTGGATGGCGAATTTATGCGCATATATAATTCATTTACATATATATATATATATACATGTATATAATTCCCACCCTCGTGCATATCAAATGTTTTTTTTTTCATCATCGCTCACGCTAATCCCGGATGGCCGCGATACGAGCGTGAGGAGGGGGAAGGGGATGGTTGTAGTAGCTACTACTCCGACGACGAGGAGGCGAAGATGTTAAGAGTTTCGAATCGGAAAAGTGAATTATTCCGGTGCTCGCGCCGGAAAATTAACAATTCCCCAAGATTACTTTCCACCTCAACCAACCAACCAACCCCCCCCCTAACCCTCTTTGCGCACCACTTGATGTATATATTCGCGTTCATTTATTTCTTCTTCTTATTATTTTTTTTTTGCTACTTGATCATCGCATACCCCAATTTCGCTAATGAGAAATGTCTCGTTTTATTTATATATCGTCTCGAGATGTTCTCGGCCGTCTTCAATTTACTTTTTGCTTTACCTCCCCATCTCATTTTCTTTGAATTACAATGAATATCTAAAATCTATAAGAGGGTCGAGAAAGAGAAATACGATATATTTAGGAGGAGAGCAGCAGGGTTTTTCGTATTCTTGTCGTGGCTGCTGCTGCTGTTGCGTTCGGGGGTTGGCTGCCGCCCGGCAAATGTTTTTTTTTCTTGGTTCAGTAACCGGCGAGCAGGGGGCGCAAGCGCGCCGCTCCGCTCGATAGTTGCCCCAAAACGAACGCAACAACCCCAAACCCCAACCCTCCCACCCTCTCTTTACCGACGCCCGAGGGACGCCACCGCCGCCTCCTTCGATCATCATCGCCTTTGCTTACTGCCCCCGATTCCGCCGCTCGCCAAACATGCATTCACCGAAAAAAAAACATCGTTCGAATCTACATACTAATTACATTTTGTTAATCAACTAAAAGTTATCGTAAATTGTCGCAATTACACTTCAAACCAATCATTTCTTTTTGTTTATTTGATTATGTACGATTGGAAGCATTCGATTGGCCAACGAAAGTCGTATTTCATTTGTCATTTCACTTGTTTGAAGAACTCCATTTGTCAGACTTGATTCCAAACAATGCGAATACAATAGACGTTTGATTTTCGCAAATGTGTCAAAGGACAATATATATTCACCCCCCCTTCCCCCAAGTATAACAACAACACGGTTTAATATAAATCTCGTCCCCCTCACATTCTTTTGACCTCCGCCCTCTCTCTCTCTCTCTCTCTCCCATCTGGGGACGCAATAATAAAAAAAAAAGTCATATTTCGCAAACTCTCCGTTTCCACGGCGACGAAGCGGCGGTGTTACAGAGGAAACAACACAATAACGATACCGAGGGAGCGATTTTTATAAATAAGTTGATGTGTGTTACTACTACACATAGGGTATGAGACTTAATTACATTTTGGTGCACCCCTCCCTCGCTTCTCCTCCTCTCACCCTTCGACCTGATGCGGCAATTTGTATTCCTCGGCCAACTTCATTAAACGCGTTATTAAATAATTCACTTTGATTTCGCCACCGGGCGCAATTTGATTTCAACCCAACATTTCTTCATTCTCGTCTCCTTTTTTTTTATCCCGAAACGTACGCGTTTAATTGTCGGGACGCATTTAATTTTCTAATTACTTCATCAACTTCATCCAACTTCTTTTTATGAGTGAATTGAGTGAAACTTACGATTTTAGCAATGGCGTCTGTGATTGACCAATTGCGTAGCGTTATTTTCAAAGTGACGCTTTCAAATTCAAGATGGCGCGTTTGCAATTTTTTTTGAAAATGCACGCATTCAACTGTTAATTGAATTGAATACTCTTAGGCAGCGCTCGTGACATGGACGAAAGTTGCAAATTTAGCAACGACGTCGACATTTGATCCCCCCTTTTAGTCGCCTCTTACGACAAGCAGGAGTTACTTTGTGCCCCGAAACCAAAGGGCAATCGAATTTACACCGCTCAAGTGTTTGTCGCCATGGCAATCATGACCTTGATCGAGTAATCGTGGTTATGTTTTTTTTTTCTCTTCTTCATACTTTTGTACCGAAAGTACATCATCGCATTGGGGTGGGCGGATATGTAACGTGAGCCCGGAGGGTAGAAGGAGGACATCAAACAAACCTTAATATTGTGCTTACGTGTGTGTGCGTGGGGGGTGGAGGAGAAGTGTGCTAATGGCAGCACTAATTTCGACATGTAAACCTTACTATTACTACTATTACATCTGAGAGAGTGAGCGAGAAAATCCCTTTCTGTGGATAGAAAAGAAGAAAGAAATGGAGGGTGGGCAAGTAACACAACACAACACGCAGAGACACGTGACGTAAAGTGGAGTAGAAAGGTCCTCCACCCTTCGGAATCGCACCAACGCCCAGTTTTACGGCCAAACCTCTCCCTCTTCCTCCGACTCCGCTTAACAGGTGATGCAACTTGGGGGAGAGAAGAAATAAGATTCGCTCTTGGGGGAACAATGCAGGAAAAGGAAGGCAGGAGGCGGCTGCGAGAGAAGGTCTAAATTTGATTCTCGCACTGGGACAAGGAAATTCAGTTCCGTTGCCATCGCAATAATATTGTATTAATGCGTTTATCAGAGACATCTCTCTCTGTGTCTTCCTTTCTTCTTACTAACGGAATTTGATTTTAATCCCTCCATCGCAAAAAAAAGAAGCGAAAAACTAGAGTTCTTTGATCCGTTGTTTAATAATGGTCGTCAGGGACGCTGAGCGCCATTTGCATTTGCACACTATTTATTGACCATCTCCATAGTTACCCTCTCTAAATGACTAAATTATTATTTTTTTGTTTAGTTTTCGTGGCTTCATTGATTTAACGTTTGTGTTATACAATCCGCTCTCTCACACAGACTCGTCCTCTTTGTACGTGTGTTTCTCCTCTCTGGAAACCCTCTCCGGCATGTACGACCGTGTGTTTGATTAACGATTTTTTCGTTCCAGATTAGAGGAAACGAGGAGCGAACCGCCGCTGCCGCCGCCGCCACCAAAGCAACCGTCCGATTTCCAACCAACAAATTAAATAAAATGGATCGCTCTTGGTGAGTGCTCCAACGTTTCTTATTTGTTTCTCCTTCACTTTATCAATACTTATTTAATTATTATTTTTTTTTAGTTTCCTCCACCCCAATCTCTATTCAATTCAAGTGGTAACAACTACTTGATCCCGTTTCGCGCGCGCGTGCCCTTTCTCTCTCTCGCTCTCCCACCTTGACATTCCACTTAACGTGTCGTCCCGCATATGCTATTTCGGGACTTAAGTCTACTATATTTCGGGTCGTCATTGTTAATTTATTCGCGCTCTGCGGTTTCATTCACAGACGACGACGACGGACGGACGAATGTAGGAATGCCGTCGTGCTCGCTCTATTTTCGTTTCATCACATCGCTTAATTATCGATCGTGTTACCTTTGAATTCAATAATGGCGTCATTATTTTTTATGACGTTTCATTAACAAAACAAAAATAATGGTTGTCAAATAATTTTGACGTTTCCTATTTTTTTTTTTAAATTAAATTTTGCCATTGTAATTAATGAGTAAATTATGCGAAAATTTGCATCAATTCAAAATGCACATTCAACTGCGATTAGTTACATATGCAAATAGCAATTGGCGCGAGCAAACTCTGCGCAATCGAAAATTCAATTCGAAAATGTGCATACGTTATATGCAAACAAAACAAGGGGGTACGACGCTCGAGACCCGAAATTCGATTATTCGCTAATCACATATAATCATAATTTCCAAATCATTGTACCGACAGATGGCGTAACCGAAATATTATGTACTTACAATGGTCGTGCGAACGTTTTCAAAGATGACATCTGAAACGCAAAGTTAACTTTTTGATTAATTGCATGTGATGTAATTGCGTTTCGATCAATATTTACCGATAGATGGCGTAACAGAAATAGAACGATTTGCGTTCGATGATCAGTCTGTATCATCATTAGTGGCAGCTTTTTATCATCACCTGAAACGTAAAGTTGGTGAGCGCATAAGCGAAGTGTAAAGTATGCAGCGAGGAAATATGTTACCCGTGGGCAGTAGAGATATTTCGGTTAAACACACATCGTGTGTGTTACAGTTCCATTCTTCTCATCTCGTCGCTACTCCTCCTTTTCTCGCATGCGCTCGTCCCCTTGTTTTCTTTCATTTTCACCGCATTCCGCGACGTCTATATAAACATTGGCCGTCTTCCATCTAGAACGGAACGCGACATTTCTTTTGTTTTTATAAACATATTTTGTTTTCTACTCCTATTCCTCCTTTCCACCAATTAATTGAACATCTCTTTACTCCCCCGTCGCCATAGCAACCCTCCTTTAATCGTCTCGTTACGTCTTGTTTTTTTTTTTGTTTTTGTTTCTCTCTCGAATTGTGTATATTTATTGCTGTGTCACCAACTAACAATTGTTCTCGTCTTTCTTTCTAGTTTCTACTACTCGCCCACATGAAAAATCTCAAACAAAACTAGATTAACAAAATACAAATATACATATAACATAAAAATAAAACGTAACTTAGTGAGCATTGTCTTCTCTTCTCGTAAATCGAGTAAATCAATTGCTTTTTATAGCAGAAACGAAAATTAGAAATAAAAACGAAACATGAGTTACCACTATGTAAGTCTCCATCATATATGTGTGTCTGTGTGTTTCGCTTATTATTTTTATTCTTAACGTATTATATATTTAATTACTTATCAACAACAACTTTGTAAATATGCGTAACGTAATTAATTCTTCTTCTAATTAACGTATGTTTTTTTTGTTTTCTGTGTGTTTGTTTCGTTTTACTAATGTTTGTTTCTTTCTTAGCCTACTAAACTAATAACGATTACGTTGTTTGATGTGCGCTTTCCTTTTTATACATTTTTTTTGTTTGTCTTGTGAAGCGATTTTTTGTTTTTTGGTAACCCTTATCAACGATATTTTTAAGAAATTGACCAATTATTAGTTTTTGCCTGAAAAAAGCAAAACGTACGACTCAAGTACGTCTCTTCTTGATATGTATCGCTGTGCTGTGGATACTTTTTTCTTTTTTTTTTATCGATTGATTGATTTTTCTTTCGTTTTTCTTCAATATCTTCTCTGTAATTTATACAATATCTCTATATTCTTGATATTTGCTAACTTTGCCACATATATATTTATATAGAAAACAATAGAATACCTTCGTTTGATTTTCGTTTGTTTCTTCGTTTTCTTTTTCCAGACGACGGTGTTGAATTTTCGGGACGCGCGGACGAAGATGTCCCGGGTATCTCAGCTGTTCTATACCGTCGAGGTCGGGGACACCAAATTCACGATCTTGAAACGCTACCAAAGTCTGAAACCCATCGGTTCCGGCGCCCAAGGCATCGTCTGGTGAGTACCAACTATAAACTTTTAACGCACTTTTGCCCAGATTTTGGTGCGATTTCCATTTTCTCTGTTTTTTTTTTCTCCTTTCGGAGTATTAAGTTTTTTTTTATATATTTTTTTTTTTTTGATTTTAGTTGAGTTTGAGTTTGTTGTTTTCCTCCCACACCCAACAACCCCTCTTTGTTCTTATTTTTTTTTTCACTCACTGGATCGTTCTTTTGGCGTTTTCTTGGGAGCGAGCGTGTTTTTTTTGTTCCTTCTGTCTTTCTTTTTTTTTTGAAAATTGGTTTTGCCGTTGAGTTCATTTTTTTTGATAACGAATTAACGCGCTAGTGAAGAAGAAGAAGAAGACACGTCGTTGAGTGTAAAAGAGAGTAAAAGAAAGAAGGAAGGTAATATCATAGAGTTAGAGTTAAAGAGTAGTAGTGTAGATAGAGAGAGATAGAGAGAAAGAGAGAGAGATGCGTCCCAGATTCAAGCACTACGTGTTCGGTGATGCCGAATTCTGGGTGCCCACACGGTACATCAACCTCGAGCCCAAAGGCATCGGTGCCCAGGGTCTGGTCTGGTAAGTTCACTATAACTATTTTCATTCTTTTCTCTCTTACAATTATTATTATCATTATTGTTTTGTTCTTACCGCTTCTTCAAGAACTACCGCCAAACTAACGTTACCATGCTGCATGCTTTTGTTTACCGTTGCCATTAACGATCGTTACTAGGTGGTGTGTGTTACCCCAAGGGTCGCTCTATGTTGATGATCGTCGACATTGATCCTAATGCGTTTCTCTTTCCCTCTGTTTCTCTTTCTCTTTATACACACACATATATATATATAAATAATTCTTTCTCTTTCATTCGATGATGATGATGATGATTCGTTGTGCAGTGCCGCCGTTGATACCGTCACCCAGCAGAATGTGGCCATAAAGAAGCTCAGTCGCCCCTTCCAAAATGTGACGCACGCGAAGAGGGCCTACCGCGAGTTCAAACTCATGAAACTCGTCAACCACAAAAACGTAAGTTTTTCTCTTCCTCCTGAGTTTAATTAATTTTTGAGTGCGCGCGTGAATCGATTTCGCTGCGAAAGTGATTCGTTCGCACAGCCAGTCGATTAGCTAATTAAAAGCTACGCCCTCTCTTTGATCACGAACGAACAAACAAACAGTTTTTGTTTATTTTTAATGTAATGTAATGGATTAAAGCAGAATTCACGAAATAATCTCTCGATTTTGCAGAAGAATAAAGAAAGAAGTAACAAAAAAAAAAGGAAGAGATTCAAAGTAATTTGCGAAACGTTGAAGTTTGTAAGATGAGGTGGGGCTTAGGCGGGATTTCGCGGTCTCGATTTATGAGGCTGCGGAAAGAAGGAAAGCGTTCGTCTGTTCGTTTGTAATGAAAGGGATTAATTTTCATCTAGTTCGTAATCGCGTCGGTTACTTTTAGCTTCGCTCGAATCACCGCGTTCGCATCTCTCATATTATATGAAACGGTTATCCGAGTTACTGAGCCTTCTCACCGCGACAAGGTGGTAACCATCGAGAAGGAAGGATGTAATTGTTATCCTCTATCTTTACAGATTATCGGTTTGCTGAATGCGTTCACGCCGCAGATATCGCTGGAAGAGTTCCAGGATGTCTACTTGGTGATGGAGTTGATGGACGCGAATCTGTGTCAGGTGATTCAGATGGACCTGGATCACGAGAGGATGAGTTACCTGCTCTATCAGATGCTGTGCGGCATCAAGCATCTGCACTCGGCCGGCATCATACACAGGGATCTGAAGCCGAGCAACATCGTCGTCAGATCGGACTGCACGTTGAAGATTCTGGACTTCGGATTGGCACGGACGGCGGGGACGACCTTCATGATGACACCGTACGTGGTGACCAGATACTACAGGGCGCCGGAGGTCATCCTCGGCATGGGATACACGGAGAACGTGGACATCTGGTCCGTAGGATGCATCATGGGTGAGATGATACGCGGCGGCGTCCTCTTTCCCGGCACCGATCACATCGACCAGTGGAACAAGATCATCGAGCAGCTGGGCACGCCGTCCGCTCAATTCATGATCCGGCTGCAGCCGACGGTCCGCAACTACGTCGAGAACAGGCCTCGCTATCCCGGCTTCACGTTCGACAAACTGTTCCCCGACCTGCTGTTCCCCTCCGACAGCAGCGAGCACAACAGGCTGAAGGCGAGCCAGGCGCGCGATCTTCTCTCTCGCATGCTCGTCATCGACCCGGAGCGCCGGATATCCGTCGACGACGCCCTCCTGCATCCGTACATCAACGTCTGGTACGACGAGGGGGAGGTGAACGCGCCAGCACCGGGTCCATACGATCACAGCGTCGACGAGCGGGAGCACACCGTCGAGCAGTGGAAGGAGCTCATCTACCAGGAGGTAATGGAGTACGAGAGCTCGCACAACAACGCGCGCGGACCCGCAGCCGCCGGCAACGCCGCCCCCAACGCCTCATCCTCAACCTCGTCCACGCAGCCGAGCCCGGCGGCCGGCTCAGAACCGAACGGCACCGAATCCTCACTACGGTAGACCAGGTACATACATTATACACACACGCGCACAACCATACGTACCTACCACCTACCACCTCCAATTACATCAACATTTGCTGCTGCTGCTGCTGCATCTTTTCCTTCTCTTCTCGACTAATAGAACAAAATTCGATAGACTACTTTCTTTCCATCACAAATTACACTTACTTATTACTACTTCACACCTCCCCCCCTCCTCCCTCCATTCACCAACGATCGTATGTTTCTTTATGCAGCCACAATTTAGAACAGCCGCCTCCTCCTCCTCCTCCTTCTTCTTATCCGTCTCTCTACAATAAAATATATTTTACACACCATATTGGATATTAAATCAAACACTTTAATCTAAAAGAATACACTCACTTTTTGCCCCGAGTCGATCCACCAATGGATTTATTTACGGTCCCAATTTTTAACCAATAACGATGCATTCAGCCCACTTTGTTTTTTTTTTTCGTATATCTAACCAAATGCAAAACAACGGTAAACAAAAAAAAAGAACAAAAGCGCGTCGAGCATTTGTTTACTCTATGGCTTTTTATTGGTGTATTCGTTCGGCCAATAAAAGTAACGATTCAAACCATTGGTTACTCTTTTCTTTTTACAAATGGCGCGTTTCTTTGTCACATTAGTCGCCTTTTACGACAAGCAGGACTTACTTTGGTCGTATTCTCTATTATTATTATTATTAGTTCAGCCCCGAACCAAAGGGCCGCGACGGTCATTTCTTTAAAATGTATTATATATATTTATGTGTAAATTTTGTACGAAATCATTACATGTTTTTTCTCTCTCTTTTGTTGCAGGGTCTGATCAGGTGTTTGATTAATGGTGCGCAGTTAAAGCCAAGTGAAACATAAATTATAATAACGAGAGAAGAGGGAGAGAGAGAGAGTGTGGAAGAGGATGATGTGGAGGAGGAGGTGGAGAGACCGCAAAGATGGGATGGAAGAAGATGATGAGTTTTAGGAGCAGAACACACGTGCAAACAAAAACATAATAAATTTAAGCAAAAAAAAAAAACAAAAACAGAAGCAAACAAACGTAAAAAAAAATCTATAATTATATACATATATATATATAAATTAACAAAAAAAAAACAAAAAAAAAATCCGAACTTAAACAATAAGACAAACAGACAGCCAGAAGGAGAGGAGAGATCCGGAAACGCGTGTACACCTAGGAACTACGTTGTGTTGTTGTTTGTTTATTTTTATCTAGTGCAAAATAATTAATGAATTAATAAGTAACAAAATAAGGCAAAACTACATACGTATTACGTGCATACAAACATACATACACACATGTTCTATGTGTTGTATATATAGTTATACATACACACACACACACAAACACACGAGATAGAAAGAGAGAACAAATTTTTCTTTTTTTTCTCCAATTCGAGCTGAAGAACAAGAAGGCCGTTAAAGAGTAAACGAAGAGTAAACTTCGTTTATAAATCCATTTACACGTGTGATATAACTAAAAGAATTAATTTTGAAGAGAAGAAGTAAAAAAAAGTAATAAATATATACAAGAACAATGGGATGTAAGAAGTGGAGCAGGCGATGAAAATAAAACCAACAGGCTGTAATTTATCTACTCTACCTTTGAAATCTATCTATATATGTGTGTGCGTGCGTGTGTGTGTATTTAAAAGAAGAAGTGAATTGCCAACTGAAAAGTAGCAGCAGCAGCAGCGACAACAAAGAACCGAACGAGACAATCCATTTCTTATTATTCAATTGTTTGTGTTTTTAGCTGTTGGCAATCGCGGAGATTCGCGAACAGTTGAACTAAACAAAAGCACACACCCCCTCAACGCTCCCATCGATATGATATACTTTGTAATGTTGTTGTTGTTGTCGTTGTTTTTGTAACCTCTCCGGCCACCGTGTGTCCTAAAATAAACTAAACTAGCCAATGGAGGAATGGCGAACGCGCGCGCATTCCACATGTAACAGAAAAACCACCAAGAATTGAAGCAATATTTCTAATAGTCGTTGTTCTCTCTATTACTAACACTTACTTTATAAAAAAAAACAAATAATATGTATACGCCGGGTGGTTTCCATTAGTGACGTTCGTATTTTTCTTTTTTGTTTGTTCGTTTTTTTCTTTCATGAGTAAAGTGTGAAACCCCGCGCGTGCGACGATGATATACGTATTACATGTATTTAATGAAGAAGGAGAAGAATAATAAGAAATGCATAGGTATAAAATAAATAAATAAAATATGAATTTCCTCTGTTGAGGCGAATGCAGAAGAAACCGAGAGAGCAGCCGTCGTTCTCCTCACAACATTATCGTTTCCCTTTTCGTTTCTTTCAACTGTAGTCGTTCTTTCGATAGACATTATATATTGACTAAATAAGTAAAATGAAATAATAATATTAATAATGATAAACTAAATGTAGCAGCGTTTCATAGAGAGAGAGAGAGAGAGAGAGGGACAATGTAATCGTATATTACGTTTCTTTTTTTTTTTTTTTGAAAATAAAACATAGTAGGCGTTCGATTTCAATTTCTATGGAAATAGTAAAACAAAAGTGCTTGAGAGACGCGGCGAGACAAAAGAAAGAAAGAGACGCCCACCTTCGACATTTGTGTTTGTATTATATATATATATATATTTAAAAAAAAAAAAAACAAAAAGTAATTAATATATATATATATATGAAGATGTGTAATAAAAGAGAAGAAAAAGAAAAACAAACAATTCTATGTCATTATGATCCGATCCAAAAAGAAAACAAAAAAAAGTAATTAATTAATAATAATAATATTTAAAGATAATTGAAAAACGGGAGAAAGAAGGAAGAAAAAAGGAATTATGTAATAACGATATTTAAAAAAGAAAAATAAAAGAGTAAAGATTAATGGTTATATATATATGTACATGTAAATCAGTTCAGAGATGAGATAAACGCGTTGACGACGTTAATTTCTATCATACTTCTGTTTCTTAGCGACCGTTGTTAAGTTCTAATTCTTTTTTTTTTATTTGTATATTAAAACTATTTCCGTTGTTCCTAGCGCAATTATTGATATATATAGAATATACCGCCGATCCAATTTTGTTTTTTTCGTTTCTGTTTTTTTTGTTGTTGTTGTTTGATTTTACACAGCCCCCCCTCAAATAAATATATTATTAATAATAATATTGATTATAGCCGAAATTGTTCCTTGTTATATTGTATATGTATAGAAAAAAAAAGAAGAAAAGTGACGGTGATGATGTGACGCGTCGTTTCGAAGTATTTTTCCACATGGTCAACAAAAAAAAAACAATGAGGAAGAAGGAGTAGTTGTATAAGTTTCCCTTATTTTTATGTTGCTGTTTGTTTGTTCATTCCTTCATTTGATATTTTGTAACTCTGTGAAACGAAAAGTTCACTGTTTTAGTACACAATTTGTAGTATATATATATAAAACAAAATAATTAAGATGATGATGAAAATATAAATGATGATGACAACAACATAAAGATACCCAAGTCTTATTACATATATATATATATAAAAAAAAAAGAAGATGATGGAAGTAAATAAGATACAATGATGCTTGTACTGTTTTCTTGGCTTTGTAAATAAAACCAAAGTAATGGGGATTTCATTTATTCCGTCTACTGCATATTACTTTTGTTTTGTTTCATTCTTTCACACACACTCGTATATATATTTTTTTTGTCTTTTTCCCCTGTCCATATAAATATAAATTCGCGTAACCTAGGAGAACGTAACAAAAATAACAGTTATGTTGTCACGTTGTCGTGGTGTTGGGCGGCGAGGAGCGCTTCGGCGACGTGCATGGTGTCCTTACTGGTTCTGCCCATGACGAAGACCTTTCCGTTCATGCCGATGGCGATCTCGTAAGCGCACGTCTTCGCGAGGACCGCGAGCAGCGGATGCTGCACGTCGAGCAGCCTGACGATGAGACGACTGTCCAGGTTGAGCAGGAAACCCTGATTGCTGAGCGGTCCCAGGTTCGCCGCCTTAAAGTACTTGTTGACGCAAACCAGTTCCGGCTCCATCTCGCGGTGAGCCGTCACCAGCTTGGCGTAGACGACGTCGCCCACCTGCAGGTCGGGTTTCTGCTTCTTGGTCGCCCCCTCGAAGGAGAAGGCCGAGAGGGAAGCGTGCTCGGCCGAGCCGATGTCGATCTTGAACTGGTCACCGCTCTTCTTGGCGACGACGCCGACCACCAGGTCACCCTTGCACGGCACGTACCGCTTCGCGTGTCCCTCCACCCAGTACATGTTCGGCGCTTTGTGGCAGAGCACCCCGGCACGGCTCACCGTCAACCCTTTGGAATCGTCCTCGGAGCGTCGCAGCCCCGGACCCAGGATGACGACACCCTTGTTGGAGCGCGGCTCCGGCAGGCATTCGCCCGGCAATACGACATCACCCACGTTCACGACCATACTTTTTACTTTATAAACACTAACCTAACCTCAAAGCGACACCGACAATAACATACCGCGAGGTTATGTTTCCTAATATACGCAACCCTATTCACGTCAACGTGTACATTTTGAAAACTAAACTATAGAAATTGTTAAAAGTTTAAATCCACTCACCACAGCACATTTAATCTACTCCATGCTACTCTCCAACATGTATTTAAAATCCACACCATAACAGATTGCATCTGAAACAATATAATATTAGTATAAACATAGGAAAGAAATTATTGATTGAAACTCACTTTCAATTAGAAAATAGTTCACGTTTGTCCAATTGCAACACAATTTGCATCTTTACATTATTAATCTGTGAAATAAAACGAATCAATGATGATATGAAAGGATACTTAAGGTGGTGAAAGTAAATGAGAAGAGAGATTACATATAGATTTTATCATCATTGTAGTTATTGAAAATACATTAGTAGAGATAGAGAAGAGACATTTATATATATATAATATGTAATATGCCAGACGCTCTGGCTGTGGCTGATGATATAGTTAGTTAGTTAATTAGTTATATTAATAAGAATATAAGAATAATGTAATAAATCAATAATACTTTTCGATCAATCCTCACCTCTTTCCTTTATCCTTTTCCATTTCATCTCCCCATACATCATAATACGCGCTAATTCCACAAAACAAAAACTAAACAAACAAAAACCTATAATCAATCTCGTCGCTACTTAAGTTAAGTTACCAGTTACGATGATATTGTCGCAGTTACGCACCACATCTTTTCCGGATGCGCCCATCCTCATGCATAATATCCCTGGACATAATATGAACATGATGACGAAGACGTAACGTATTCTCGGTCAGAGTAGTACAAATAAATAGAATATATGTATGTAGATGTATAATAAATATATGATTACTTTCTCTCTTTCTTCTTCTCTTCGTTCCTTCGATCCCATATATTTTGTTACAACAGGTTATTTGTTTCTTTCTAAAATCAAAAAATAGAAGAAGCTACGTGAAGTGCAAAAATCGTTCAAAAAATATTCATATTTTTTTTGTGTCAAGTTTTCTTCTTTTCTTCTTCCTTCACTCGCTCTCTCTGTCATTCTACGCCCTTTTACGTGCCACCCACATCACGTTACATATCGTAGGGGGCGATGTTCATCCGGTGCAGCAGCTCTTCGGCTGCGCATTTGATCTTATCCTCCTGACTGTTGACCAGCATCACGGCTCCGTCCTTGAGGACGTTCCCCAGTGGAGAGAGGCGGTCCGCTGGTAGACTTCCGAGAAGTTCCAGGCAAGCTTCCATTGTTTCGATGCGCGTTACTTTGAACGCCTCCGAGTCTTTGAATATACTCACGGACCGTTGCTGCTGTATCTCCGGCGGGACGGGTTGCGCTGGCGGGAGGAGCGCATTGAACGGATTCACCCTTCCAGCGACATCATCCTTCTTAATACTGCTGGACGAAATCTCGTCCACCGAGATCTGCATTAAAGTGTTGGCATCGTACTTGATCTTGTTCGGCTTCTGGAACTTTGCAGCTGCTTCGTTCGTCTCATCGTCCGTCGAGTTCTCGTTGGTCTTGATGGTCGTCGTCGTCGTCGCTGGCGTTTCGCGATTAGGAAGAATCTCCTTCTCCAAATAGCTATCAGAGTCGCTCGACGTGAAGCTTTCCGTGGTTTTGAAATCGGCAAACTTGAAGGGCCTTACAGTTTTCTCCCATTCCGTCGATGACGACGACGTCACCGCATCCGCTTCGATCGCATTTCCCACACCTTCTCCTCCTTCTGCATCGCTCTCGTCTTCTGCGTTCACCGGAATTCTGATGGTCAAATTGGCGTACGACTCGCACAGATGCTCCCATTTGACGCGCAAGCTACGCAAAAACTGTTCCACGTAATCCAAGTCCGTGTAACATTTCCTCGTCTCGGAGACGGCGTCTTCATCTTCTTTGGCCAGCAGCTGCTCGATGTCGCTGTGCGTTATAGAATACTTCTCAATTCCATCAAGGCAAAGTTCGATCAATACAATGATCTGCACCACCTCGCTCGTGTTGGCCTGCGTGTACAGGTTGGCGGCCTTCGAAAGGTTTCCCACCTTCTGCGTAAGGAACTTGAGCCCCGGCCGCAGGTCGAACTCTTTGGCACGCGAGTTAGACATCTCCAGGCAGCGCAGCATGACGTCCACGTGTCTTGCGTTCACGTGCGTCAGTATACCCCTAAGGCTGCACGTGCTGATCTGAAGGATATTCAGGATGGGCGTTATGTGATTCAAGTTCTGCAGCAGTGCGCTTGATATGGTCTGGATAAGCATCTGGTGAGCTAAGATGCCGACCACCAGGTTTCGGAATGGAACACGTACCGTGTTCAAGTCAGAATTATGCGCTCCGCCGCTCACGTCTGGTGGATACAGCAGGAAAACGTAGCTGCGATCGTCGATCTGTACGGTCTGATCGCATTCGCACAGTTTCCCAGTGCACTTTGAGCAATTCCGTTGTGCTTGCATCAGGAAAACTTGCTGAGCCAACTCGTACAAACGCTCGCTCTCGACGACGTTGCTGTCCTTCCTCGCTGCCACCTTCACCGTCGCCAAATCTCCATAGAAACTATCCGAATTAGGTTTGAAGGCAAGCGTGATTTGGTGCAGGGGATTCAAGCTGACTGCGGTCGCCCTATGCACCGCCACCACCAGGATATCCCACTGCGTCGAGCTGAGCATCTGCCCGATGCTCAGGATCAGGTGGCGGATGCAGGACGTGCCCAGTCGGGCCACGCTTTCGTTTGGCTGCGCCACGCATTCAATCAGTATGATGAGCAATTGCTTCAGAGCTAAATTCACCGCTGGATTTCCGGCGGCTTTCAATTCCCCCTGCACGTGGCTCACGTAATCCACGACCAGCTCGGAGGCGAGTCCGCAGCAATGCTTGAAATGCTGCCAATCGTCTCTTTGGCTCTTGCTGTTTTGTCGCAACCAATGTTGAACCATTGGCAGCAGCAAATGATTCAAGCAGTACAGACCAAAGTTCACTCCAGGATTTAACGATTTCAGATCTTTGAGCAGCTTGAAGAGGCATTCCACGATCATCGGTTGGTTACGATGCGGAGCAATGACTGCCGCCGAAGACAAACCCTCCAGCAATATATACCTGCAACAACAACAACAAAAAAAAACGCATGAATAGAAAGCTCTTCGGATTAGGATGTAATATATTTGTATTTTACCAGACTTTCAAGCATCCGGTCTTTTGGTCCATCTTGCTGAGCGTCAGTCCCTCGCGATCGCATGCTTCCATATCCTCTTTCATCGCTAAAATCTTGTAGGATATTTCGTTATCGTCGACTTGCTTAAAAGTGTTGATGTCCGAGTTCTCGATGATCGGATCGACGAGCTGCGGCTCAGTTTCTATGCCCATGCGATGTGTCAAATTAAACGTTGGACATTTGGGCATGTTGTGCATCATCGAAAGGATTGCCGCGCAACTCTGCAGCAATTTCAGTGACTCGGCACATACGTTCAGTGTAGGTCCTTCCTCTTCACGGATGCTGGTCGTGGTCGTCGTCGTCGTCTCATCTTCTTCGTCATCGTCTGCCGCATTAGGATTCCTGATGTGCGAGAGCAGACACAAGATGTAATCCAGCGCCGCATTGGCAAACACCAGCGTGTTGTCCGTCTGCAAGAATATGTAGAAAACATCTAGAATGGTGGAATTATTCTTGCCGTTGGCTACGCGCAACGTGCCGAAGAGCGGCCTCCAACCGGAACAAATCTCCGTTCGATTCGCCTCTACGAATTCGCAGAGGCAGGCGACGATTTGGTCTTGAACGTCTGAATCGCACAGCTCTAAGCATAGCAGATTCTCGAACGGTTTGAATAGTGCTTCGTTGAAGTGGAAATGCGGCAATTCCGTTTGCTCGTTGAGGAGGGCGTTCACCGCATCGTGAATGCATGCCACCGCCTTCTTAGTGATGGTTCTGTCCTTGTGGCATGCCGCCTGCATGAAGTGAGGCCCGACTATAGACCACACCTTCATAGTGTGCACCAAGGGTCGCCCGGACCTGATGCACTTGAGCGTGACTTCGCCGATTCGATGCAAAAGCAACGTCGCCGGCGGCTTTTGGCATTGAGCATCCAACTTCTTTCTCCACCACTTCTTGCCCGAATTCTCTGGGTATGCTTGTGGTACTTCCTCGTACCTGGTGAAGAGTTGATTATGTGACGCCTTGCACAGTTCTCCGAGGAAGCTACACAGCCCCGGAAGCGCCAACCTCAAGGCGGCATTGTAGAACAACTCATCGGCTTTGGCCGATAGAACGCAGCACACTTTGGCGGCATTCACTCCGCTCAAAATTCCCTTGCCATGGGCGTTCAGCACTCCGCTCCTCTCAACGATCTCGGCAACGCTCGCATCCTGATTCGGTCCACCGCTCTGTCCGTATGAAGTGTTCTGCAGGAAACTGTACACGTCCACGCAGGTTTCCTCACCGTCGGTAAAGCTCAAATTCAACTTTTCATTATTGAACGTCGAAGAAGTAACTATATTGCTCTGAGTGTTTTGAGCGACGAGCAGTAGTTGAGCTGAACCGGTTTTGCTGAAAAGTGCGTGCTCCAGGCCGGCCACAGCAACGCAAGCATTGAAGATGTGCGGCCAATTCGTGCTGCTGTGCGAACCCAACTCTAAACCTACAACAAATCACATTGCAATTAGAAAATATGCTAATAATTAAAAACCGAATGTATACCCTTTGATATGAGGACGTCCAGGGAGAGAGCATGAGATGCTGCAATCTTTGGTCCTTGGACCTTGCAAGAAGCGGAAAGCAAAGATAGAATACTGCTGGAGCGCGACTGCAATTTGAGAATATTGCTTAGACTGGCGGCCTTCTGTAGACCCTCCAAGCTGGCGGTGATCACATCATCCCTTAGCCGCTGCTTGTGCTTCTGCCGTGATCTCCTCGCCACCAATCTGCTAAGAGCGGAAGCCCCCGCACCGACTGGAGGTCCTTGCTCCCCCAAAGAAGCTCCGAGGACCGAGACCACGGAAGCCCAGCAGCAGGTCAAAACGCGTCGCGATAACTTCACACCGGCCTCCACCTCAGGGCTAGAGTCCGTCGTCGTTCCGTGCACAACCTTCTGCAGCTTCTGCCAATCCGTGAGCAACTGCGAAGGGCATAATCCGCCGACATCCGTCAACAGATTAATAAGTGCGGGCTGCTGTTGCGTCCTCGAGTCGTACCCCGCCACTTCAAGCAGTGACTTTGCCAGCACGTTCTGATATAGTTCACAGAGCCATGTAGCCGAGACGTAGACCAAGATACCGCTGCCGTGGATCTCTTCTACAAATTGCACTTCGGTCATGGTCGAAGAAGACTGCAAAACAATTAAAGTCACCGATGCTGCTTGCTATTGATTATTCGAAACGAATACCTCTGAATTCTTAGGATCGTTGTAATGGCCTCTCCGTATCAGTTTCAAGTTGAGAAGCAGCGCGGAATACGTGGCCAAGTAGACGCCATCTGCGTTCATGATGGTCGTGATCTCGTAGTTTTGAGCGGAATTGTGCTGGCAGCATTTCGATGCAAACTCCTGCAAGACCTCGTCTATCTGTAAAAATGAAAACAATCATATTATAATTATAATAAATAGAGCAAAACGTTAAATACCTGAATGGAAGATCGCAGCGTTAGCAGGTTGGGAAGCAAAATGTTCTGAAGCGTCTTGACAAAGTGTCTAGCGTTGTGTCGCTCCATGTCCGTGTTACATTCTTCGAGCCCGGAGCGACCCTGAATGCAAAAGAAAAACAGATTAGAAGGAATCTTATTAGATTTTCTTGGGAATGATTACCAAATGGAGTGATTTTGGGATATTGTGAAGCTTTTGTAACTGTTGACTAGTCAGGAAGCTCTCGTCATCCATAATACTATCATCCGATTGGCTGGCCATCTCTTCGGGTCCCTCGGTGGCTCCCGACGTGTCTGTATCGGAGCAGTTCTCGTTTTCCTCCTGGAGTCCCCCGTCTATCCCGCTACTGTCCGAATCGCTTTGATATTTGAGATTAGCCACCACGTCTCTGCAATACAAACATCGACATGATCATTAGAGTTTCATGCAGTTGTCTCTTCGCTTACTAACCTATAGGGTTTCGGCAATCTGGCGAGAGACTGATACGTGAGGGGACCAGTATAGTCGGCCTGCTCAAGGAGAGGGTATCGGCTGTTCGCGATTTCCGCACCCTCCACGTTCAGACCTTCGCCGCGGCACATTCCCTCCAGCGATCCCAGCAGAGCGCAAACACATTCAACGCTCGCCAACATCACGTTCGGATCACAGTACTGGGCGGACTCTTCTATCGAATCCATTATTCTAAAATCAAAAGATAAATCAGTTTAATCTCTTTAAACTGATGTTCAAGAACTCACAGTCGTATTATAGCCATGTCATCTCCGGCATGTCTATGGATGGGTCCGCTGAGCAGCAGAAGATCGGCGAGGCGACCCGGCGATCTCAGAAGTTCCCGCGCTGCTCGCAACGGTTCCAATCTCTTCGCCGGGCTCGGAAGCAGCAACATGCGATGAAAGATCGCCTCGAGGACGGGTCTCAACGCACGCTCTCTTCCCACCAGTCGCACCACCTGAATTCCAATGCTGTAAACGATCTTCGACTGTTGCGTTGTGAGGCTGGAATCGCCACCGGGCGCACCTAGAAGCGCGAGAAGAGCCGGGCAGAATCGCTGCCAGAGGAAGGTGGTGAAGTGCGAATTTGAATGTACAGTGTGCGGAAGCGTGTTCACCAGGGTCAGCAAGCACTCCAGCAGGAAGACAATGGTATCGCCGGACTTTGGTAAACTGCCACAAAAAAAACATTATATACTTAATCTATACTGATTAAAATAATTATTTTCAAATATTACGCTTTCATCTCCTCCAATCTGCTGCAAATGTACTGCATCACTGGGATCGCTTCGTTGAAGCAGGCCACCGCCGAAGTCTTGTTGTACACCATTTCTGCGCTGCTTCCAGAATTCTTGTGCTTTTGCTGCTGCTGCAGAATCTCCTGACACTCTTCATCTAAACATGCAAAGTGAATATCGTGAACATGCAAAATGAGTATTTTTTTTTCTATTCTTTTAGTATTTAAACTACCACCCCCTAGTATTTGAGATGACGATTGAAGTCACAGGTCATCTAATGCAGACGAAGCCTTCCGTCCTCCAGTCAACACTCAACCGGATGTTTCTAATTGAAAATCACTGGACAACCTCCGGTTAAACGCTAACCGTCGAACGCGATGCGAAATGTGAGAGTGCATGCGGAAGGCGTTGTGCGACGGAGCAATTATGTGCAATTATATATTTTATGAATATCTTACCGAGGAACGTGCAGAACGCCGTCAGAGTTTGGCTGGCGGCTGCCTGGGCTGCGGCCCTCACCGGTTGCGTCCCGTTGTCGTAGGCCTCTCCGCAGCGGCTGACCAGCAGCATCACGAGTCGTCCATTCAAGGCCCAACTGGCTGCACATGCCATCGATAAAACCACCCTCAAAATGTGAACCTATACATATATAACGATAACATAATTACAAAGAGATGTAATCTGATTGCAAACCTGCGTGTCTTCACATTGGGAGATCATCGAGGAAGTGGCGTGCAAAAGTTGAGCGGGTAGCCAAAGAGAATCATCCTCCGGTTCGGCTCCCGCTTGGAAACGCTCATCTCGGACGAGTTTCTAGAGGAGAGAAGCAAGCAACAGGAAATGCGTTAAGGTAGGTCTCGTCACCTGTGCAAAACCCCCATATGACAACCCCTCACAAGACAACCACCCCCCCAAAAACATCGTCCATATGTCTGACTCACGTTCAATGCGAGCAGCGCCAGAGATACGAGTTTCGACTTTTTGCTTTCGAGTGAGAGCTTGACGGCCGCAAAGCAGGCGGTCCGCAACTCGTGCGAAGGATTCCTCGAGGTGATGCCATGCTGGGCGCAAAGGAGATCTGAAACAGAAAAAGAAATATGAGCAAAAAAAAACAATGGATGGATGGATGAATGCGTGCAACGCACCGTGCGCCTCCTGAGCGCTCGTCCTCAAAGGGCCGAACCCTTTGCTGCCGTTGCACTCCTTCACCACGTTCAGCAGCAGGTCCTCCATGGTCTCCTCCTCACCCCCACTTGTATATCCTCCTACACACTAACAAACGCGATGCGACGCACTTATTTGCGACGTCTCTTCTTGCGACCAGACTAAACGCTAAAAATCGACGGCGTCGATGACACTTCACATGGCGGCGGTCGGCGGAGGAGGCGGAGGCGGCAACTCTCTTCTGGGCATGATCGGCGGGGCTGAATCGATAATTCTCTCGCCCGTCCGTCTTCTCCCCCGTACGTCGCGGCGCTGTTGCAACAAGTGGCTCGAATCAGGACCATCGATAACATCGTCATCGTGGGGAAAACCGGAAACGGAAGCTTCCTATCTGCAAACCATGGCAACCTGAAACATCGATAAAACAAGTGTTACCGTTAAAAGTGATGATCAGCCGCTCAACATTCGCAATCATTTCATATTCTATAGAGTATATAAATGAACAAAAATATATTGCAAATCATTTTAAACATTTGAATAGACATTATTATAAGTTTCTAGAAAATGTCCCGAAAAGAGGAATTACCCTTTAATTTGGTAGTTATGTCAAGGGATGAAAATGATAATCCGTATCATCCGATGTTGATTCAATTGACGGGTTGTCAAAAATTGGTTGGGTTTAGAAAATTAAGGATTTTCTGCCCTTGAAAGTGTTCAAATAAATAAGTTGCAATGCGTTCAAACGAATTCATATCACTGCTATTATCGCGTAACGCATATTGTATGTACATCAGCAGATAGATGGCGCTAGATTATATGACTTAAGTCATGATTGCGTAAGGTTGTGGATAGGTGGCAGGAGATCGAGAGACACTCAACCCACCGATTGCTTTGTGTGTGGATGTGTGTGTTGGTGTGTACCTTTCTCGTGACGAAAGTAGTGCTATTTATGTTACGACTACTCTCTGGCACAAACACGGTGTGTTTCGGGGCTGGTGCAGACGACTTCCTCCTCCTCCTCCTCCTCCACCACCAACAACATCTCGGTTGTCATCCTTTGTGTGTGCGTGCGTGTGTTTCGCGCTGAAAAGGGAATACGGGTTGCGAAGAGCATACACAACACGGGGGACGCTGGCTGCTCTTCCAGAGGTCGTCGAAAGTGAGGAATCGCGAGTGCGAATAGAACGTGGAAGAAAGAGAGCGAGAGACATCACACACACACACACGCACATACATACGTACATGTACAGAAAGAGTAAGAGAGAAAGAGCGATACAGAGTGGAAAAAGGAAAATATATATACATATATAAATGTTCTACACGATGCTCCTCTCCTCTCTGCCGTCAGTGGGAATTATTTCGCGACCCATATTATTTTTATAAATATATACGCTACAACACACGCACACGTATCTTATACTTTTTCTTTTCCTTTCCTTCGAGTGGTGCCGTACAGTGGAAACGCCAGTGTTTCCCAATAACCAACAGCAACAGTTGAATTGGAAATCGTAAGGGAATCTGAAACAGAAAGGGGAGAGGTGCCGTTCGGATTATATTATGTGAGGAGAGAAGAGGAGTCAGAGAGAGTGTGTGTGTGAGAGAGAGAGAGAGATAGAGAAGAAAAGGTGAGTGTTTTTGTTTCTCGTGATGATCGCGGTATGCAGTAGCAGTAGCAGCAGCAGCAATAACGTCAAACGATGTGACGTTTTTTGCCAGGATTTACGCCCCCGCGGATTTTCGCTTTAACGCGTTCATCTCCACACAAACACACACAATTTACATGTCGATGTATTTGTATGTATGTATGTTGTTTACTTGATAACAGAGTTTGCCATGTAAAACAAATGAATTTAAATAATGGAGAAATCACATGTTGCTTGTGGCATTGTTTTGTTACGCAAAGTGTGGGAAAACCAACTCCTCGCCTCCTCCTTATCGCTTCGCTTCGTTTATTATTATTATTATTAATAATAATGCATGCGAAAAAAAATAAGTAGGCAGTGGAGAGACGAGAGGAATGCGAGAAACGTCAAAACACGAACTAATCTTTACGCGCCGACACGTCTAAAAATAAAATTTGAAAGATGAAAAAATAAACAAATAGACAGAAAGAGAGAGAGACAGAGAAACAAACAAAACAAGAGGCGAAGTAACATGCACATGCGATTTATAATAATTAAAAAAGAAATAAGCGGGGGATGAGAAAAGAAGAATCGCGGAATATTCGCTGAATAAAAAAAAAAGAAAAATAGTTAGAAGCGCGTATATGTTCGGCTCGGAGCTGTAAGTAAAATCAGAATTCGCCGAATTCGATACAACACGGTGCGCGCGTGTGTATTATAATTAATATCAATCGAAAATTTCATTATTTACAAATTTTCAGAATATAAAAGTCGAAATCTTAAAATCTGCAAGATAAGCTATCGAAGATTATTAAGTTGTAATGCTTGTTTAACAATGACCGATTCCGCTCTTAGGGAAAAGACTTCTTTTTAATGATAGACTAATGGCAGCAGCGCGATTAATAGTAAATTACGTAATGATAGTTGCGAGAATGGAACGATGCCTTTATCAGTTTTTGATGGGCAAAGCGTGCGTTCGTGGAAATCGGTGATAAATGAAACAAAGCGGTTGTACCGAACGGAACGCCAAAAGGAAATCACCAATTCGAATCTTGGAAATTCGTTCCGAATATATCGCCGCGGTCATTTATTGTCGCCGCCACACACATTTTCGGGGAAAAATAAAAACAAATAATAAGTAAAGTATTAAACATTCAAAGTGTTATTGCCGTTGTACGTACGTTTCTAGAGAGATCTCTTCTATTTTGTGTGGAAATGTTTTGAGCGCTATTAATACGAAATCGTATGTATAAATAATAAGTGTGTGTGTGTGTGAGTGTATCGATAGATGGATGTACAAGAGTCGCGATATAAAAATATGATCGGTAAGAGTGTGTAAGTGTATTTAAACGTGTAAATGTCCGAGAATAGAATTTGTCATTTCGGCGGCTGTCGCTGAAAATAAGTTTGACATTTGCGAATGACGCGAAATACGACCGTCCGTCGCCCGACTGACCGCCTACCGAGATTATGATGATGATGATCGAAGAAGGTACTCAACAGAACGGATAGAGAGATAAGTGATGATGATTATGATAACGGATGGAGAAGAGATGGAGAAGTTGCTATACGCGATAGGGAAGGGAGGGAATATGTTGTTGTTGTTGCTGCTGCTGCTGTTGTCATGCCCGTTTGTTGTTTGTTATTTTCGTGCCATGCCGCTCGGTGTCTAAATCTATGTTTGATTTTTGATTTATATTTAGAGCGTTTAATCAGAATGGCCTGCAATGTTCGTGGGCGGAAGGCGAAGGTCGTCTAAGAACGTCCGAGCCATGCAGTTGTTCCACGAGCTAAAGCAGCAGTTCCCGACGATTCCGGACCACGTGGTGGCCGAGTGCATCGCGACCACCAGCGGCGCGGAGGCAAAAGTCGCCCTCCTGGCAGCAACAGCAGCCGCCGCCGCCGCACCAACAACAAATACCACCACCGCCAACTGTCATCGCCACGACCAGCACCAGAAGCCGATGGCGGCTGCCGCCCCACATCGTGCACGAAACGAAGAGACGATGAGCCGAAACGAAAAGCCGAAGCCCGCGAAGCGACCAGACAGCCTCTCGTTGAGGCAGTCGGACAAATGCAAAGACGTCCACAAACTGCTGGCTGCGACGTCGTCGTCGTCATCATCAACGTCTGCACCCTTAGCTACGATGACGACGCTAACGACTTCCGGCCTGCAAAAACCGCCGCGTCCGAAAACGCGAAACCATTTGAAACCTAGTGAAAAGACTGAAAGTGGAGGTGGCGGCGGCGGCGGCGTCGTGAGAAAGAGGACGGCGGAGGCACAAACCACCGATACCTTGCTCAACGCCACGCCGACTACGCCGCCGCCATCCGTGAACCTATCTTTAAATGTGAATGTGATCAGGGGGGGTGGTGGTGGTGTTCAGCCGGCTGCGACGACATCCCCCACGTCCAAACATTCGAGTGTGCTGAACGTGGTTCCGCAGCAGCCTTGGTGCTGCTCCGACCTGAACTCACCCCGCAGTTACACCAGTGTCAACCTTACGCTGCGGACGCCCACCAGCGAACCGCAGCCACCCATCGACATCACCTCTCAAAACTCCAGCCTGACTTACTCGACGAGCAGTTTCGACTGCCAGAAGGGCCTGCAGAGCCGGCTCCAGATCACCGTCGGTCCCGGTGGCGGTACCGTCTCCTCGGTGCGGACGAGACCGCGTAGCTACCACTCGCCAACCTCCTCGCCGATAGCAGCAGTTTCTCCAGCAGTTGTAGGCCATCCGCATCATCATGGATCATTGCAAGACCTGACGACGACCGCCACTACAGCATGCTGCACAAGTGAGTAAACAAATTGTATATATAAAATTGTATTTGCTAGTTGAAGTCAATTAATAATTGAAAAAGGTTGAGAAGCACTGCACCGCAGGTAACGGAATCGATGCCGACGTGTGCAGTAGAAACAAGGAAAGAGAGATCGAAAGTTTAAAGGTGATCAGTTGAGAGCAAGTGGGAGCAAGAAAGAAATAGATGAATATATATATCCTACTCACACGTATACATACACACACAACAGTGTTGTAGTATCCTTTCTATTTTTGCGGGCGGCCCACGCGATTCAATCTAGTCGCGTTACATTTTGGCAAGGGCGGACGCCGATGACGATGGTGTCCATCTCGCTTCCTCCTCCTCATCTCTCTCTCGCGCTCTTTCTCTTCTATTGCACGCACGCCGCCCCGATCCGACTAATACCAAAACGGAATAGAACAAAATAAACAAACAAACTGTATAATATTCGACTGTTGCTACATTTACGTGTAATTCTTACCCCATTTTTATTCTTCGTTACGATTAGCGCCCACGATACTGAAACAGCAGGCGAGAATTGAGAGACTGAGAATCGAACTGATTTCGGAGAAAAATAGACTGGTGAAGATCAAGGCGGAGGTGGCACAGATGAAGATGGAGCAGCAGGAGGCCGAGGACGCGATCGCCTTGAGGCACGAAACGGAGCTGAAGTTGCAGAAGGAAATTCGCCACCTTCGCACCCAGTGCGACCTCCTCACCAACGAGGTCGACAGACAATCTGAAAACAGAGGTAAATAGTATTGCATTGTCGTTGTTGTAATTAATAATTTACCTGTTGTTGTTGCCTGCTTGCAGAAATCACAGCTCCACTGGGAGAGACGAGCGCCGAGTACTACCGCAACATCTACACAGGACATCATGGTGCTTCGGGAATAACCGCCGCCGCCGCTTTGAGGTCGCCTGCCTCCGGACTCAGCAGATCCCAAATGTCGACGACAAGCACTTCGACGACCTCGGAGTCAAAGTGGAGCTGCCCCATGTGCACATTCCAGAACCATCCGCTGCTGGACAAGTGCGAACAGTGCGAAATGGCCCGCATCTTACACGGTAAATTGCCGAAACCAGCAACGACCACCATAGGTGGTAGTGGTGGTGGTGTTGGTGTCAGCAACGCCAACACCGATTTCGACAAGATACAGCAGCTGCTTGCACCCTGTAACAATAACAACAACAACAACAATATTAACAGTGGCGTGGACCTAATGAGATGGCTCAGCGAACCTGCTGCTCCCAACAGAACAATTGGTGATAATAATCCTCCTTCTGTAGCTGCTGTCGCACACAATTCCACCTCCTCCACGTCCTGACTCTGCTCCAAATAAATACATACAATCAAATGGCAACAGGCAAAACGACTGCGGCAAAGAACCTTACTTAATTGTGATTATTATAGTATATAGTAATGCTAAGCTAATTTTATTACCTGTTATATGGATGTAGTAGATAGAAGTTAAACATGTTTTCCACGATATTATTATTATTATATGGTATTGCAATATATTTTACGATTGTTCTCTATCTCTCTGTTCGCAGTGTCCGCATCACCCGGTGATAATATTCACATACACGTCACACCTAGACTCACCCGAAGTAAGACGACTCTCATGTCGAACCCCCAATTTTGTTACTAGCTAGTTTGGTGTGTTCTCGTTGTTTACGCAAAAAAAGCATTGAAACCATGGCAACAACATCTATTTGTTTATTGCCATGGTTCCATCACAAAAACTCTAACAGCATCACCCGCGTTTTCTGTCCTGAAAATAAACAAAAAAAAAAGCAATTAACAATCTAAACTGCATCCGTCCGTTACAATTAACGATTCAATTACATCGTTAAGCAAAGAGGTGAGGTAAGTTTGCGTGCGCTTTTCTTTGTCGTTTACTTACATTTTATTTATTTTTTTGTGTCCCTGTGAGAGAAGTTTGTAGCTTGCCATCATTTACGGTCACATCTGAAATAGAAAAATGATTGTTATTTTTTTTGTTTATTCGTCAATATATAATATAATATTACTATTATTATTTAATTAATAAAGTTTTAAACTTACACGTTCCGTATTTTCTCGTTTGCTTGCAGGGATTGTCCACTCGTGGGCTATATGACGATGAGCATGAAGAGTTAGAGAAGTTGTTCAGATAAAACAAAACAAATTATTTTTTATTTTCTACGTTGAATAAAAGATGGTTGTGCAGCGAAAGCAGCAGCAGCAACGAAAAACTATATGGTGAGATTTAAATAAGAAATTCAAGTCGAATCCGAGCAGGAGAGAGACGAGAAGAGAGAATCCCAATTGACCCGGATTCGTAATTATTCCCAATTATGTGTATTATGTGTATACTGATTCTTCCTGATTTGAGATTATAATGAAGGGATCGAAGAGCTTATTTTATTATATTAAAAAAAAGAAAAGAAAACAATGCAATAATATTCTGGTTGGTGTTTTCATCTTCAGATAAAAAAAAACTGTAGAATTTCAGTACAGAAACAACATATATTGAAAATGGAAATACTAAACTAGAGAATGTCATTTTTCTGACCCTTGTTGAAATGATGATATATGTTTATAACAAATTTGGGTACTAAAAATATTTGGTAAAAACAATGGATACACAGTAGATCCGTGTGCATTTTCTGTGTTAAACAGGTGCTACCTCGAGAAGGTAAATGCGTACGGTCTTGCATCAATTCAGAGGCTATG